TGCTGCTCCTCCTGCTGCTGCTCCTCCTGCTGCTGCTCCTCCTGCTGCTGCTCCTCCTGCTGCTGCTCCTGCTGCTGCTGCTCCTCCTGCTGCTGCTCCTGCTGCTGCTCCTGCTGCTGCTCCTGCTGCTGCTCCTGCTGCTGCTCCTGCTGCTGCTGCTGCTGCTGCTGCTGCGGCAGTAATAACGGAAATTGCAGCACAATTTCTCGACAGAGCTGCACTGCTACTGCTGGTTGCTGCTTGCTGCTGCTTGCTGCTGCTTGCTGCTACTTGCTGCTGCTTGCTGCTGCTGCTGTTTGCCGCTGCTGCTGTTTGTGTCGGCTTGCTGCTGCTTGTTGCTGCTGAATTCCAGAAAGAAAATTTCAAGCGTTTAGGGTTTAGGGTTTAGGGTTTAGGGTTTAGGGTTTTCTTTCTTTGATTGGCTCTGCGTTGAAGAGTTAATACATTCTGCTGCTGCTGCTGTTGCTGCTGCTGCTGTTGCTACTGCTGCTGCTGTTTTTGCCGCTGTTGCTGCTGCTGCTGCTGCAGCTGTCAAAGGGTTTCTTTTCAATTTTTTGGGAGTCCATCCGCTGCTGCTCGAGGCTTGGGATTGCTGCAGCAGCAGCAGCAGCAGCAGCAGCAGCTGCTGCTGCTGCTGCTGCTGCTGCTGGGGTCACCAAGCCCCGTTTGCTGCGCATTGAATATTCTCTCCAGCAGCTCTTTCATTTAAAATATTAAAAAGTTTTTTATTTATTTGAAAGCAAAAAGAAGAGTTGAAAAGCTTATGAGGCAACAAGCCTAAGAAGGCTCTTTGTGCTGCGCAGCAGCAGCAGCAGCAGCAGCAGCAGCAGCAGCAGCAGCAGCGCTAGGGTTTAGGGTTTAGGGTTTAGGGTTTGGGAGTAAAAGCAAAATGGGAAACTGCAAAACTAAACCCAAACTCCACTTGGGGGCCCCCCAGGGGCCCCTCACTTCATTTCCTCAAATTTTATTTTTGGGTCTGGACGGCGCCGGCAAAACCACTCTTATGTACAGAACTTTGATTCCAGGTAACGACTCCCAGCTAGCTAGCTAGCTAGCTAGCTAGCTAGCTGGCTAGCTAGCTGGCTAGCTGGCTGGCTAGCTATCTGGCTAGCTGTCTGGCTAGCTGGCTAGCTAGCTGGCTGGCTAGCTGGCTGGCTGGCTAGCTGGCTGGCTAGCTGGCTGGCTAGCTAGCTGGCTGGCTAGCTAGCTGGCTAGCTGGCTAGCTGGCTAGCTGGCTAGCTGGCTGGCTAGCTAGCTAGCTAGATGGGTAGCTAACTAGCTAGCTAGCTAGCCAGCTGTTCAGGCACCTCACTAGCTAGCTGCATAGCTGCTAACTGTTTGCCGAGCTAGCTAGCTAGCTGGGTAGCTGGGTTGCCAGCTAGCTAGCTAGCTAGCTAGCTAGCTAGCCGGTTAGCTAGCTGGCTAGCTGGCAACCTAACTAGCTTGCTAGGCAGCAATTTGGATAGCTAGTCACACAGTTAGGCAGCTAGCCAGCTAGCTAGCTGGGCAGCCACCCAGGCAGCTAGCAAGCTACAGGACTAGCCAGCTAGCTAGCTAGCTAGCTAGCTAGCTAGCTAGCTGGACTTCATGCTAGCTAGCTAGCTAGCTAGCTAGCTAGCTAGGCCAGGTGCAGCAAAGCAGTGAATTGGGGCATTTAGATTTTCCAAAGTCATATCAGATTCAGAATTGTAAATAATCTCAAACTTCTTTTCAACTAGAAATAATTTATTCATTCCCTTCTTTGCCAGTTTGCTGCTGCTGCTGCCGCTGCTGCTGCTGCTGCTGCTGCTGCTGCTGCTGCTGCTGCTGCTGCTGCTGCAGAGTGGACTGCGCAGCCGCCGGCGCTGCCGCCGACAGCAGCATTTCATTTTGAGAAGCTGCAAAGAGGAAAACTGCAAATTGGTTTTTGGGATTTGTCTGGAGCTCCTGCGGTGAGAATTTAATTAATTAATTTAATTAATTAATTTAATTAATTAATTTAATTATTTTATTTTGTTTTATTTTTCGCCGTTTAAAACCCCACAAGCAGCACTTCGCGCGCCCTTGGGGTGTACAGACACCGCCCAGCAGCAGCAGCAGCAGCAGCAGCAGCAGCAGCAGCAGCAGCGGGAGTAGCGAGTCTCACTCTGCTTCAAATATTGCTGCTGCTGCTTGTGCTGCTGCTGCTGCTTGTGCTGCTGCTGCTGCTTGTGCTGCTGCTGCTGCTTGTGCTGCTGCTGCTGCTGCTGCTGCTGCTGCTGCTGCTGCTGCTGCTGCTGCTGCTGCTGCTGCTGCTGCTGCTGCTGCTGCTGC